ATATTTGCATGAAATCACAGATGGTACAAATATAACCAAGTCACATCCTCAACTTCAACTATTGTGTAACAACAGACCTTGAGCTCATATCAGGAATGGTGCATATCCACACTGCCTCTACTATACATTGATATTCGCTCTTGTGGGAAACTTGTGTAGCTGTGGATCAGGTGAAATCCCTTCTAGCTGAATTCAGTTCGGAATGAATTCATAGACAAGACCATGTTGTTTTCTGTGAATTGATAGAGAAGGTGTTTGATGAGATGGTCTTCCTGAATTAGTTTTGATTTCCAATCTAGACTAGAGTCCTGAGAATTCTATATTCTTCCATCCAAGTTTTAGAAAAGCCTTATCTTCCTGGCTTGAGGAATATTGGTAGATTAATAAATTTATTTTTCCCATAATGGTCAGTATAAATATATCTATTTAGAAAACTGGTCTTAGAAACTTCAATTATATGAAGGTGTTCTTGCCTTATAAACTGAGCACCAATGGGTACAAACCATTTTATGAACTAACACAGATCCATTGAGGTATATACAACATTGCCTCTCTTCAGGACCAAAAAATGGAAGTGACTAAAAGTTCAGGTGTGGGGAGACTTGAAGACCATGAGTGGAGAAATTGAGAATGGCTAGTGATGCTGTCACTATAAACTCTTCCCTTCCCTTCCTATCACAATATTGCCTTATAAATCCATCTGTCTTCTGTTTTTTAAATGATACTCATTTAACAAAAAGGTTAATTGGGGGAAGATTAATTTTATGACTTGCTATGGACATGGATATCACTTGATCCTGCTTGCCTTTATATCCCCCATCATCAACAATAGCTGCCAGTCAAACAGCAGCATCAAGCATGAAGTGGGGAGAATAGAAGTCAAAATGGAAGGTAGGTGAGATGAGGTGAGGTGAGGTGAGGTGAGAGAAGAGAAGAGAAGAGAAAAGAAGGGGAGGGGAGGGAAGGGAAGGGAAAGGAAGTGAAGAAGAGATGAACACTTTTGTATCTGCCTAGATGTACGTACATGAGAGTTTGGACCCACAACATAGCCTGACTTCCTATCCTAGTCGGCCAGATGGAGGAATTGGGGCTATATATTATTACCTTATTCTACTGCACTAAAAAAAGAGTTGGAAGTGAATGTTTTTTTTTTCTTTCCCCCCCCCTTTCCTGTTTTTTTCCTATTTCTCTTTTTTATCCTTACTTTCCCTTTATTTATTTTTTTGTACTTTATATTTTGATAAGCTAATAAAAAAATAAAAGTAGACGATGTCCTTTGGACCTCTTTAGAATAGAATAGAGAGGTCTAAAGAACATCTTCCACAACAGCTGCCAGTCAAACAGCAGCATCAAGCATGAAGTGGGGAGAAGGGAATTAAAAATGGAAATGAAAGGGAGAGAAGAGAAGAGAAGAGAAGAGAAGAGAAGAGAAGAGAAGAGAAGAGAAGAGAAGAGAAGAGAAGAGAAGAGAAGAGAAGAGAAGAGAAGAGAAGAGATGTCAGCCTAGATGTACATACCTGAGAGATAGGACCCAAAAATAGCCTGACTTCCTATCCGAGTGGGCCAGGTGGAGGAATTGGGCTGTATGTTATTACCTTATTCTACTGCATTAAAAAAAAGAATTGGAAGTCAATGCTTTTTTTTTGTTTTTTCCCCCTTTCCTGTACACATTTTCCTATTTCTCTTTTTTTCTCT